ACTTTCGCTATAGAGCAGAGCCAGCGAGCGTTCTGATATTTAGACTATCAGCGTTCCTTGTCCGCGATGCTCTCAGCTTAATTGCTGCCTTCGGCTGTCTTTAGCCGAGGGGACTATTGGTTTTATATAATAGCTATATTTTCAATTATAGTATATCAGTTCTATCTTCTTGTAATATGATGTATATGTACATGTAACTGTTCTGTTTCACTGTGTCTTGATAAAGGAGCGGATCGCTCCGAAAATTTGACAACCTAAACTTGTCCACACTGTTGGAATTACTTCTTTGCCCCATATATATATATATTCTTCTTTTTTTGACAATGGAGCATAAAGTTTGGATGAAAAGAGGCAATAACGATTAACCAGCAATATTCTGGATTATTGGAAAATGTTATCAGGGTACCAAGGTTTTGCCGTGAGGGAAGGGAAATAACTCGTGTGAGTCTATTCATTAGATTCATTTTTGACTGGTCGGTGTTTTGAAGGTACAACCCGACGCTCTTTGTCACATGACATGATAAAGGTACCTTTGTTAGAACAACAAACTGCTGACATCGAGGTAAGAATTTACTACCTCCTACAGTACAAATAACGTGTCAAAATCCGGAACGGGGTTTTGAACTTTTCACTTCTGAAGCAACTCAGATATCTCTTCCGAATTCCACTACAAATCGTAAGAACCTTGGCGCATTCGACATACAAATGTCAAAAAATTAAAATTCAGAATAGGAGGGTTAGATAAAAATTCAGAAAAGTAGTTTTATTTTAATATTTGCTTAATGTTATGTATCAACCTGGAAAGTAAAGATAATTTATAAAAAAAAATAGGAATTGTCACCCACTACAACATGTTGAAATCTTTTAAACTTTTCGCCTGTCACTCAAAGACAATATTTGAAGAAATAGACTTTCAAAATAAAAGCTGATTTTCCCAATATTTGCCACAGACAAGAACTAGCATAGATAAAAATCCTTTTACCAGTAACACTAAAGTAGATGCGTCAATGGTAGTCATAGACTAATGGTATGACGTCGATAACGGTGAGTTAAAGTTTTATTTTTAGCAAACCTAACCAAATGTGGAAACCCAGTTGCTCTAGGACACTTAAGAACAGAATTGTATGGGACAGAATAAATTAACATTTTAGATATTGCATGTCAAAGAAGAAAACATTTTACAGCGTGGCTTTCTTTCTGCCAAAGAACAAAAGTTCCTCTGCTGTCAGGATTTGTTTACAGAGTTTGGGAAACTCGAGAATATTAAATCCATAGCTTCTCTATGTCAGAGTGATATTACTTTGAGACACCCGATTCGTCTTTAATTTTTTTATGAATAAATCCGTTGGCGAGGACGTATTGAATATTGATTTTGAGGATTTTTGGATTTGATTTTTCTTTGATCTTAAACATTTTAAATGTGAAGGCGAAAACAGTCTTGCCTTCTCTCAAGTGGCTGTCTTCTTAGAAAATTTGGGTACATGACCATTTCTTTATTTCAATCATGGAACATTTCACCAAGCTTTGTTGTGATTGTTTCTGCTTTCCATTTTGTTCTTTGACTGAAGATAACCACGGGATGGAATGGATTTTTCTTTGATTTGCAATGTTTAAGATTTGACTTGTTCGTCTTGATTTGATTTGTGCGTCTTGATTTACGTTCTACCATATTAGAAAAAAACTTTTGGGTTTCCATGTTTGGTATGTTATGCAGAAAAAAAGTCTTTTAAAGATTTTGTCAAACAATGAAAAAAAACCACCATGAGATCAGCTCCAGTTTTGATCATCTTTATCTTCAAATATGTTGTATTTGTGCGAAAGGAGAAATATGTACGTCTGATCGATATTAACAAAACTACCTGGATGAGAATGTGACCCAAACCATTCAAATATTTAACGTGATTCTGAGGACAACGGTACATAATTCTTATTTTTATGACGTAATATATTCCGTAATTATTTATCGAAATATAATCTCTTTTTCATAAAAAAGGACAGACAGTGATTTGTATCGGTGTCAGCGAAGGCATCCAGATTAGGACAATTTGCAGCAGAACGTTTGGAAAGATCCCTAGATTGTCTCCGAAATTGAAAGTGATTATTTTAAAATTGTTCATAACCTTGGTCCTTTAAGGCGTTAGTGTTTGGAAAGCGGTTTTGATTCGGCAATACTATAGAGGGTATATCCTTTACCTCGATGCGAGTGGTGTGTTGTAAAAATAAAATGCGCCTGACGTCATATCCGGTGACTTCCGGAAAAGAAGTACTGCAGTGCAGCATGATTAACACCCTTTTTAAATTGATAAATTGCATGTTTATGACGCATGTGTTACTAAGACATGTACGGTAAAACATCGATATAATATAGAGAGTAAAACTTCGAAATAATTTTACTGGTTTATATGAAATATTACCACACTATGATGCCCTCTAGCTCGTTCATGTACGGGGAACCTCTATATAATATCATTTGAATTAATTAATAGAAGAAATGTGATGCCTTTCGTTTATATAAGCAAAACTTCGATAGAATGCCTAGTTGCATCTCGAAAATGGCGACAGATTATCAATGTTTCATTGTATACTTCTGGCAAATACGGTGAAAATCATTAAAACTTCCAAATAGAAATAGTCATCACTTTTTATATAAACAGCCTATTCTGGTTTGTTTTTATTAAAAGGATGAGTAATAGTAATATTGAACATATAATTATCTATCGTTTAATTATTGAGATAAAAGAGGCGACTGATATATGGATGTTGTTAACCATTGGGAATAATTAATTCTAGTCTCAATGTCAGACTCACCAATAATATCTGCTTGTGGCTGCTCCATTATATTGACTGGTTGTGCTGACATGGCTGGTCTTGCTCCCTGAGGATCCATTGATGTGGTCGACAATGTATTAGTTGTTGTTAGATGAACACCTCCGGTAGATACTAATATCTTTGTTGTATCTAACACTTCATTCACTGGTGTATCAGACACCTGATTTATTGGTGTGTTTAGATTCCTGGCTTCGTCTTTAAGTGGATTCAATGACACTTCTGACCTCTGAAATACTGGTGTTATAGATGTTTGACTCATTGGTATGTCTTGATTAACTGTGGTGTCTGGCCCTTTGCTCACTGTGGTGTCTGTCCCTTTATTCACTGTGGTGTCTGACCATGTATTCACTGGATTGTCTGACCCTGTATTCACTGTGGTGTCTGACCCTGTATTCACTGTGGTGTCTGACCCTGTATTCACTGTGGTGTCTGACCCTTTATTCACTGGTATGTCTGACCCTTTATTCAATGTGGTGTCTGACCCTTTATTCACTGTGGTGATTGACCCTTTATTCACTGTGGTGTCTGACCCTTTATTCACTGTGGTGTCTGACCATGTATTCACTGGATTGTCTGACCCTGTATTCACTGATATGTCTGACCCTGTATTCACTGTGGTGTCTGACCCTGTATTCACTGTGGTGTCTGACCCTGTATTCACTGTGGTGTCTGACCCTTTATTCACTGGTATGTCTGACCCTTTATTCAATGTGGTGTCTGACCCTTTATTCACTGTGGTGATTGACCCTTTATTCACTGTGGTGTCTGACCCTTTATTCACTGTGGTGTCTGACCATGTATTCACTGGATTGTCTGACCCTGTATTCACTGATATGTCTGACCCTGTATTCACTGTGGTGTCTGACCCTGTATTCACTGTGGTGTCTGACCCTGTATTCACTGTGGTGTCTGACCCTTTATTCACTGGTATGTCTGACCCTTTATTCACTGTGGTGTCTGACCCTTTATTCACTGTGGTGTCTGGCCCTTTATTCACTGGTATGTCTGACCCTGTACTCACTGTAGTGTCTGACGCTTGATTCACTGGTATGTCAGACCCTTGATTCACTGTAGTGTCTGACCATTGATTCACTGGTATGTCTAACCCTTGATTTACTGTGACGTCTGACCCTGTATTCACTGGGTTGTCTGATCCTTGATGCACAGGCTTGTCTGACCTTTGATTCACTGGTATGTCTGACCCTGTTTTCACTGGTTTGTCTGACCCTTGATTCACTGGTATGTCTGGCCCTTTATTCACTGGGTTGTCAGATCCTTGATTCACTGTTGTTTCTGACCCTTGATTCACTGTAGTTTCTGATCCTTGATTCACTGAAGAGTCTGACACTTTATTCATTGGTATGTCTGACCCTGTATTCACTCTGGTGTCTGACCCTTTATTCACTGGTATGTCTGACCCTTTGTTCACTGTGGTGTCTGACCCTGTATTCACTGATATGTGTGAATCTGTATTCACTGTGGTGTCTGACCCTTTATTCACTGTGGTGTCTGTCCCTTTATTCACTGTGGTGTCTGACCATGTATTCACTGGATTGTCTGACCCTGTATTCACTGTGGTGCCTGACCCTGTATTCACTGTGGTGTCTGACCCTGTATTCACTATGGTGTCTGACCCTTTATTCACTGGTATGTCTGACCCTTTATTCACTGTGGTGTCTGACCCTTTATTCACTGGTATATCTGACCCTTTGTTCACTGTGGTGTCTGACCCTGTATTCACTGATATGTGTGACTCTGTATTCACTGTGGTGTCTGACCCTTTATTCACTGTGGTGTGTGGCCCTTTATTAACTGTGGTGTCTGACCCTGTATTCACTGTGGTGACTGATCCTTTATTCACTGTTTTGTCTGACCCATGATTCACTGTGGTGTCTGATCCTGTATTCACTGTAGTGTCTGACCCTTTATTTACTGTTGTGTCCGACCCTTTATTCACTGGTTTGTCTGACCCTTTATTCACTGTGGTGTCTGACCCTGTATTCACTGGTATGTCTGACCCTGTATTCATTGTGGTGTCTAACCCTTTATTCACTGTGGTGTCTGACCTTTTATTCACTGGTATGTCTGACCCTTTGTTCACTGTGTTGTCTGACCCTGTATTCACTGTGGTGTCTGACCCTTTATTTACTGTGTTGTCTGACCCTTTATTCACTGTGGTGTCTGACCCTGTATTCACTGGTATGTCTGATCCTGTATTCACTGTGGTGTCTGACCCTCTATTCACTGTGGTGTCTGACCCTTTATTCATTGGTATTTCTGAATCTTTATTTACTGGAATGTCTGACCCTGTATTCACTGTGGTGACTGACTCTTTATTCACTGTTTTGTCTAACCCTGTATTCACTGGGTTTTCAGACCCTTGATTCACTGTACTTTCTGATCCTTGATTCACCGAAGAGCCTGACCCTTTATTCATTGTGGTGTCTGACCATGTATTCACTGTGTTGTCTGACCCTTTATTCACTTTGTTGTCTGACCCTGTATTCACTGTGGTGTCTGACCCTGTATTCACTGGATTGTCTGACCCTGTATTCACTAATATGTGTGACTCTGTATTCACTGTGGTGTCTGACCCTTTATTTACAGTGGTGTGTGGGACTTTATTCACTGTGTTGTCTGATCCTGTATTCACTGGTATGTCTGAACCTTTGTTCACTGTGGTGTGTGACCCTGTATTCACTGTGTTGTCTGACCCTGTATTCACTGGTATGTCTGACTCTGTATTCACTGTGGTGTCTGGTCCTTTTTTCACTGGTATGTCTGACCCTTTGTTCAATGTGGTGTCTGACCCTGTATTCACTTTGGTGTCTGACCCTGTATTCACTGGATTGGTTGACCCTGTATTCACTGGTATGTCTGACCCTGTATTCACTGTGGTGTCTGACCCTGTATTCACTGGTATGTCTGACCCTGTATTCACTGTGGTGTCTGGTCCTTTTTTCACTGGTATGTCTGACCCTTTGTTCAATGTGGTGTCTGACCCTGTATTCACTTTGGTGTCTGACCCTGTATTCACTGGATTGGTTGACCCTGTATTCACTGATATGTCTGACCCAGTATTCACTGTTATATCTGATCCTCTATTCACTGTGGTGTCTGACCCCTTATTCACTGTGGTGTGTGGCCCTTTATTCACTGTATTGTCTGACCCTGTATTCATTGGTATATCTGAACCTTTATTTACTGGAATGTCTGACCCTGTATTCACTGTGGTAACTGATCCTTTATTCACTGTTTTGACTAACCCATGATTCACTGTGGTGTCTGATCCTTTGTTCACTGTGGTGTCTGACCCTTTATTCACTTTAGTGTCTGAACCCTTATTCACTGTGATGTGTGGCTCTTTATTCACTTTGTTGTCTGACCATGTATTCACTGGTATATCTGACCCTTTATTTACAGGTATTTCTGACCTTGTATTCACTGTGGGGTCTGACCCTTTATTCACTGTTTTGTCTGACCCATGATTCACTGTGGTGTTTGATCCTGTATTCACTGGTATGTCTGAACCTTTGTTCACTGTGGTGTCTGCCCCTGTATTCACTGGGGTGTCTGACCCTGTATTCACTGTGGGGTCTGACCCTTTATTCTCTGTTTTGTCTGACCCATGATTCAATGTGGTGTCTGATCCTGTGTTCACTGGTGTGTCTGAACCTTTGTTCACTGTGGTGTTTGAGCCTGTATTCACTGGGGTGTCTGACCATGTATTCACTATGGTGTCTGACCCTTTATTCACTGGTATGTCTGACCCTTTGTTCACTGTGGTGTCTGACCCTGTATTCACTTTGGTGTCTGACCCTGTATTTACTGGATTGGTTGACCCTGTATTCACTAGTATGTCTGACCCTGTATTCACTGTTATATCTGAGCCTCTATTCACTGTGGTGTGTTGCCCTTTATTCACTCTGTTGTCTGACCCTGTATTCACTGGTATATCTGAACCTTTATTTACTGGAATGTCTGACCCTGTATTCACTGTGGGATGTGACGCTTTGTTCACTGATTTGTCTGACCCATAATTCACTCTGGTGTCTGATCCTTTATTCACTGGTATGTCTGACCCTTTGTTCACTGTGGTGTCTGACCCTGTATTCACTTTGGTGTCTGACCCTGTATTCACTGGATTGTCTGACCTTGTATTCACTGATATGTCTGACCCGGTATTCACTGTGGTGTCTGACCCTTTATTCAATGTAGTGTGTGGCCCTTTATTCATTGTGTTGTCTGACCCTGTATTCACTGGTATATCTGACCCTTTATTCACTGTTTTGTCTAACCCATAATTCGCTGTGGTGTCTGATCCTTTATTCACTGGTATGTCTGACCCTTTGTTCAATGTGGTGTCTGACCCTTTATTCACTGCAGTGTCTGATCCTTTATTCACTGTGGTGTGTGGCCCTTTATTCACTGTGGTGTCTGACCCTGTATTCACTGGTATATCTGAACCTTTAATTACTGGAATGTCTGACCATGTATTCACTGTGGTGACTGACCCTTTATTCACTGTTTTGTCTAACCCATGATTCACTGTGGTGTCTGATCCTTTGTTCACTGTGGTGTCTGACCCTGTATTCACTGCAGTGTCTGACCCTTTATTTACTGTGGTGTGTGGCCCTTTATTCACTGTGATCTCTGACCCTTCATTTACTGGTATATATGACCCTATATTCACTTTAGTGTCTGAACCTTGATTCACTGGTATATCAGACCCTTGATTCACTGTAGTGTCTGACCCTGTATTCACTGTAATGTCTGACACTTGATTAACTGGTATGTCAGACCCTTGATTTACTTTGGTGTCTGACCCTGTATTCACAGGGTTGTCTGATCCTGTATTCACTGGTATGTTTGACCCAGTATTCACTGTAGTTTCTGATCCTTGATGCACTGTGATGTCTGACCCTTGATTCACTCTAGTGTCTGATCCTTTATTCACTGGTATGTCCGACCCTTTATTCACTGGTATGTCTGACCCTTGATTCAATGTCGTTTCTGACCCTTGATTCACTGTAGTTTCAGACCCTTGATTCACTGTGGTGTCTGACCCTTGATTCACTGTAGTGTCTGATCCTTGATTCACTGTAGTGTCTAACCCTTTATTCACTGGTATGTCCGACCCTTGTTTCAATGTAGTTTCTGACCCTTGATTCACTGTAGTGTCTGATCCTTGATTCACTGTAGTGTCTAACCCTTTATTCACTGGTATGTCCGACCCTTTATTCACTGGTATGTCTGACCCTTGATTCAATGTAGTTTCTGACCCTTGATTCACTGTAGTGTCTGACTCTTGATTCACTGTGGTATCTGACCCTTTATTCACTGGATTGTCCGACCCTTTATTCACTGGTATGTCTGACCCTGTATTCACTGGTTTGTCTGACCCTGTATTCACTGGTATGTCTGACGCTGTATTCATTGGGTTGTCTGACTCTTGATTCACTGGTTTGTCTGACCCTGTATTCACTGGTTTGTCTGACCCTGTATTCACTGGATTGTCTGACTCTGTATTCACTGGGTTGTCTGACCCTTGATTCACTGGTTTGTCTGACCCTGTATTCACTGGTTTGTCTGACCCTGTATTCACTGGTATGTCTGACCTTGTATTCACTGGTATGTCTGAATCTTGATACATTAGGTTGTCTGACCCTGTATTTACTGGTATGTTTGTCACTTGATTCGCTGGTATGCCTGGCCCTTGATTCACTGGTAAGTCTGACCCTTGCTTCACTGGTATATATGACCCTTGATTCGCTGGTTTATCTGACACGGTATTCACTGGTATGTCTGAACCTTGATTCACTGGGTTGTCTGACCCTGTATTCACTGGTTTATCTGACCCTTGATTCACTGGCAAGTCTGACCATTGATTCACTGGTAAGTCTGACCGTTGCTTAACTGGTTTGTCTGGTTTAGTAAACCCATGATCTACTGTGGTGTCTTGCCTCTGATTCGCAGATATGTCTGGCCCTTGATTCAATGCAGTGCCTGATCCTTGATTCACTGAAGGGTTTGGCCTCTGATTCACTGTTAAATTAACTGGTTTGTTTGAATGATGATCTGCTGATGAGTTCAAATTTTGACTCACTGATTTGTCTGACGTTGGAATAACTGAAATGTGTTTCACTGGTGCAACTGTCACTTGATCAACTGATTCGTCTGACTTTTGATTAAAAGGTATGGATGACACTTGTATAACGGGTACGTCTGACTCTTGACCAACAGTAACGGCTGACCATTGAACAACGAATGCTTCTGATTCTTGACCAGTAGGTATGGTTGACCCTTGAATATAGGATGATTCTAATTCTTGACCAGCAGGTGTGCCTGACCCTTGAATAGAGGTAGCAGCTGAATTGTGACTGACAGGTGTGGCTGACCCTTGACTAGTTGGTGTGTTTGACAATTGATCAATAGATACGGATGACCCTTGTATAACGGGTACGTCTGATTCTTGACCAAAAGTAACGACTGACTTTTGAATAACGAATGCATATGACTCTTGACCAGCAGGTATGACTGATCCTTGATTAAAGGATGCGTCTGATTCTTGACCAATATGTATGGCTGACCCTTGTTTAACGGATACGTCTGATTCTTGACCAACAGTAACGACTGACTTTTGAATAACGAATGCGTCTGACTCTTGACCAGCAGGTTTGGCTGACCCTTGAATAACGGATGTGTCTGATTCTTGACCAATATGTATGGCTGACCCTTGTTTAACGGATACGTCTGATTCTTGACCAACAGTGACGACTGACTTTTGAATAACGAACGCATCTGACTCTTCACCAGCAGGGTTGGCTGACCCTTGAACAACGGATGCGTCTGATTCTTGACCAATATGTATGGCTGACCCTTGTATAACGGGTACGTCTGATTCTTGACCAACAGTAACGACTGACTTTTGAATAACGAATGCGTCTGACTCTTGACCAGCAGGTTTGGCTGACCCTTGAAGAACGGATGTGTCTGACTCTTGACCAATAGGTATGGCTGACCCTTGAATGAAGGGTGCATCTGAATCTTGACTAGCAGGTGTTGCTGACCCTTGAGTAAAGGGTGCGTCTGAATCTTGATTGGTTGATCCTTGATTAGCTGGTGCGACTGAATCTTTACCAATAGGCGTGGTTGACCCTTGAGTAGCTTGTGTATCTGACTCTTGACCAATACGTATACTTGATCCTGGAATAAAGGGTGCGTGCGTCTGTTGACTGACATGTGTGGGTAACCCTTGATTCACACGGGTTGTAGGCCTTTGATTACCTGGAGCGCCTGGTCCTTGATTAACTGCTATGCCTGGCTCTTGACCAATAGGTGTGATTGACCCTTGAGTATTTCGTGTGTCTGACTCTTGACCAAGAGGTGCTGTTGACCCTTGAATAACTGGTGTGTCTGACGCTAAGTACACAAGTGTGAAAGGCCATTGAGTGTCTGATACTGCTGACTCTTGACCAACAGTTGTGGTTGATCCTTGACTAAATGGGGCATCTGATTCTGGATTCACCGGTATGTCTGATTCTTGACCAACAGGTGTTTTTGAACCTTGATTTGCTTGATCGTCTGACCATTGACCAACAGGTGTGGTTGGCCCTTGTTTAACTAGCGTGTCTGACCCTTGAATCACAGGTGTGGTTGGCCCTTGATTAAATATAGTGTCTGATTTTTGACCAACAGGTGTGGTTGACACTTGATTAATTGGTGCGCTTGAGTCTTGACCATCAGGTATGGTTGATCCTTGAATAAAGCTAGCGTCTGACTCCTGACCAACGGGTATGGTTGTGCCTTGATCTACTGATACGTCTGACCATTGATTCACAGGTGTGGTTTGCCCATGATTAACTTGCGTGCCTGATACTTGATCAACAGGTGTTGGTGACCCTAGATTTACATGTACGTCTGATCCTTTATTAACTTGAACATTTGGCTGTCTATTTCCTGTTGTGTTTGAGCCTTGACTATCCGGTGTATCTGACTTTTGATTCACTGATGTGTGCAGCCCTTGGTTCACAAGCGTTCCTCCAACTGGATTCATTGTCATGCCTTGTCTTTCATGTTTTGGTGTGCCTGCCACTCGATTTAAAGATGCGTCTGACCCTTGACCCACGGCTATGGTTGACAAATGATTAACTGGTGCTTCTGACCACCTACCAATATATGGAATTGGTCCTATATTAGAAGGTGTGTTTGACACTTTATTCACTGGTAAGTCTGACTCTTTCTTTCTTCCCGTTTTTGATGACCTTTGAATCACAGGTGTGTCTGACCCTTGTTCCACATGTGTGTTTTGCTTTTGATTTACAGGTATATGTGTCCTCTGATTCACAGGACTAGCTGACACCGGATTCATTGGTATGTTTGACCCTTGATTCACTGATGCGTCCGATCCTTGATTAACGTGAACAAAAGTTTCTGACATTTGATTCACATGTGTTTCTGACCGTTGATTCAGTTTTGTGTCTGGCCCTTTTTTCACTTGTTTGTCAGATTCACGAATCACCGGCGTGTTTGTCCTTGGCTTCACTATCGGGTTTGAATTTTTTTTATTCCCTTTTCCGTCTGATCCTCCATTCACTAAATGTTGATAGTTTTCATCACGAAAATTTGTTGCACCAGAGAACGTACCTGGTCCAGTTTGGTTTGATACTGAAGACTTTAGTGAATCAATAAAAGTCGATAACTGAGACACCGTAGAACTGAGCTTCATTTCAGAACGATAGTCACTAACATTTAAAGATAAATTAGGTTTTGTGTTTTGCACTGCTGAAGGACTGGTATGGGACTCTTTACGATCCGTATGCAAAGCAGAAGAACTGTTCCCAACTACGGAGCGTGGCGTACTAGACCGTTGTATATTTGATCCAGTATCAAATAACGGATAGGTTACATCTCTTGTGATAGCTTTGGAACAGATTGCCTGTTTGTTGAAAAAGCAGTAAATGTCATTCCATTTAAGATATGACTTTCTGGAGATGACAACACACTGATAGTCCGGTATGTTGTCTAGGTGTTGCCCTGCCCAGTTGAAGTAGGTCTGCTCCTGTCCGTCATAAGTTTGATAAACATTGTTCTCTGCTACGTCGTTGACGCCGATAAAGGCTTCAAAATCCCTGCAAAATTCAAATTTTAGAAAAACATTTATTTTCACATTTTTTAGGAGAATATTTTCCCTTCATTTTTCGTTGATCACACTTATGTAGCCAAAACCATGTTTTTCTATTTGTTGATCTAATCTCACTGGCGAACAATTTTGTCTGTGTTTACTACCGATAACATCAGCGAAGACAGTTTTATTCAATGTGCTGTTTATTTGCTAGTTACCCTTACCTGTAAAGCACATGCACCACGTTTATAGATATTTACTCTTTGTGAAATTAATTTAAAAGTCCAGAAAAAGTATAGGAAGCTCGAAAACCAGCTTTTTAAATGTGTTGCAGAACTGGACTGGGTCGATCGTCGGCGACCAGATAGCTCAATTGGAAGAACGTCCGTCTAGAGTTCGGAAGGTCACGGGTTCGAACCCCGGTCTTGCCGTCGAGTTTTCCACTCCTGTTACATATGAAATACCTTTCTGTCCGACTTGTTTAAAGGAGGCTATGGTTGGCTGTGGGAAGTACAAAATGAAGACTTGAAGGATATACATACCCATCCATAGACATGACCATCTGTTCGACAAATTGTTGCGCCTCCTGGTCAGGTATCGTGGCGAGAATTCCACCTCCCTCCTGGCAAATCATATTGCTGTCCTCGGCAGATTGCTCGGAAAGTAGCAGCCAGTAGCAATAGTCATTGGTGTCTCGTGGACGAATGTGGAGAGCGGAATCGGGAGGGCACGTGCTCCCACGGGAACCTGAGAAACCAACAAAAATAACAACGTAAGTAAATACCTTGTATCATATCATTGGAGGTACGGTCGTCTAGTGGTAGGACGCCGGGCTTGTGACCCAAGGGTTGCGGGTTCGATTCACCACGGCATTGTGTTGTATCTTTAAGCAAGATACTTTACTCCGCTTGTTCCCGTCTACGCAGCTTTAAATGAGTACTGGTTGGGCAGTGCTGGAATTGTTGAATGCTAGCTGCGAGCGCCGAAATGGCAGCAACGGCTGTATGATCGTCAGGGAGTTGAAAAAGATATTTGCTCGAATCATTCTTTTATGAAACAAAGGTCATGTTCATTTGTTTCGATAAAATACAATGTTTATCATACCCTGAAAACAAAAACTATTTGCAAAATACATATCTATGTTTTATACGTTATAACGACAGTATGATCCATTCTGAACAAGTGTGAAGCTTATTACTTAAATAGATACATACTCTAGTAAGCAAAGAAGTATTAACGACAGTGCAGACCAGGAATTTGTCGAATTTTAAAAGCAATCCGCCTCTTGTTCAATACAGAAACGTGAACATTTACATATCACAACATATAACAGAGATAAAGTGTCACTATAAAACAATAATACAACATCAAATACATACAAAACCAGATATCACTTATGTATATGTTCTTGTTCTTGCATTTCCCTTCGGTTAGCTTGTAACCGAAGGCTAATTATGGTTATCAATTTATCTTTTAGACCTAATAATAAAAACAAAACAAAATAATTCGAGGTTCTTACATACCGCTTTATCACAACCTAGGTCGTGGTCGTCTCAAAGCGGTTTACAAGTTATTATCCGTGGTTATAGGGCCTGACCCTTTGGAACCAGCCAATATCATTCTCAACTTCCTGGGGAGCAAACAACCGTTGCTGCCAATTCGGCGCTCACAACTAGCATTCTACAATTGTAGCACTGCCCAACCACGTTCTCATTTAAACGTACAGCTGATCATGAGTAGACCGGAACAAGCGGAGTAAAGTATCTTACTCAAAGATACAACATAGTGCCGTGCCGTGACTCGAACGCGCAACCCCGGCGTCCTTCCACTAGACTACCGTGCTCCTATAGTCAGGATTTAAATGTATTAATAGAAAAAGGGGAATAAACGAAGTGAACAAAATCTATCGCCGTATTTGTTCGTGTAAGCAGGGCGTGAAAAACACCATGATATGCCTTAGGTTACAAGGTTACCTATTGGATAACCGATAATCCTTCTGGATCACCTTAATTGACTCTGGTTTCAGCAAGGTAGACCATATTTTAATTCTTTTATCTATAAACAAAATGATGATTTACATATCTTTTATTGAGAATTACGTATTTTCTACGTTCTTAATTTTTCTAAAACACATAGTTTTGTTGTTGTTTTTATAATTTTTTGACAAAAATGTTTTTACGGAGAATATGTCGATACTTTTGATAATGTAGCCTTTGATTTAGCTTTGCAATTTTGCATAGTCATAATTGAACATTCGGTGCTTCTTTTATTTAAAAAAAACCCCATTCTATTCCAGAAAATCATTACTGTCTTATGAGGTCATATTATATAACTGTACAATACATTGTAATGCATTAGTTTAAAGGCAAACTCATTCGATTTCAAAATGGCGTCTTCAGAATGAACTAGTTGCATAATAGCTGAAAATTCTCAAGCATACGTTTAAATCTATATATCAAAAGTACAATTGCAAAAATTACTCACCAACAGTTGTTAGAATCCACACTGAAGCAAAGAGTATAAACATAATGACCGACCAAACAAAGACAGGATGTGACGTATGGACCTTTGGCTTGGAAAGGTGGTTCAGCCTCGGTATCGCGTATTTGTATCATCAATATGTATTCCATAAGGACTGTAACCGGAAGCATTGTTATCATGACAAATTGCCAAATCAATTCCTTAAAAAAAATGATTGTCTCTATTATCTTTATCTTTCATTTTTGCGTATATCATTGTTTTAAGATGATCATCTTAATACCCGCAAAAGCAATCGATTAGTTTCTGTTTAGTGGTTTATGAACAATGTCCTAAATCGTCACTGAAATTAACATTACGTTTCGCAGAACTACTTTAATTGATTCTGGGCTAGCATCTCTCCAGTATATAAACACTGTGAGATTAAAATGACGAAGCTAATTGGAATTATAGATTTTTGTTTTTGATTAGGTGCTATTGTCTCATTGTTGTTTGTTTTCAGATTGAAAAGTACAGTGCAGAGACCATTTCCATAGGAGTCCTGGAAAATCCCCGTGTAGAAAGGTACGTGATCGATATCAATCTGCCTACCCCTTGAGGCATTTTGTTTTCAAACAAAAATGTATTAATTTCTCCTGCATAAAACAATTTACTGAAAATCACATAATTTGCGAGAAATGATTGTTGTAAGAATTGTCGGTCGCAAATTGTGTCGGTCAAAGATAATTTCGGCGCTATAAGAGCCCAAGAGAGGGTGGTAGGTCACCAGATGTGTCGGTGTCAGCAACGAGAGGGTGGTCGGTCACCAGGTGGGTCGGTGTCAGCAACGAGAGGGTGGTCGGGCACCAGATGTGTGGTGTCGGCAACAAGAGTGTGGTCGGTCCCCAGATGTGTCGGTGTCAGGAACGAGGGGGTGGTCGGTCACCAGTTGTGTGGTATCGGCAACGAGCGGGTAGTCGGTCACCAGATGTGTGTGACGGCAACGAGAGTGTGGTCGCTCACCAGATGTGTCGGTGTAAGCAACGAGAGGGTGGTAGGTCACCAGATGTGTCGGTGGCAGCAACGAGAGGGTGGTCGGGCACCAGATGTGTGGTGTCGCGCCCAAGAGTGTGGTCGGTCACCAGGTGTGTTGGGGAAGGCAACGAGAGGGTGGTCGATCACCAGATGTGTCGGTGTCAGGAACGAGGGGGTGGTCGGTCACTAGATGTGTGGTATCGGCAACGAGCGGGTAGTCGGTCACCAGATGTGTTGGTGTCGGAAACGAGGGGGTGGTCGGTCACCAGATGTGGGTGTCGGCAACGGGAGTGTGGTCGGTCACCAGATGGGTGGTGTCGGCAACGAGAGTGGGTATCGGCAACGAGAGGGTAGTCGGGCAGCAGATGTGTTGGTGTCGGCATCGACAGTGTGGTTGGTCACCAGATGTGTCGGTGTCAGCAACGAGGGGGTGGTCGGTCACCAGATGTGTGGTATCGGCAACGAGAGGGTAGTCGGTCACCAGATGTGTTGGTGTCGGCAACGACAGTGTGGTTGGTCACCAGATGTGTGTGTCGGCAACGAGAGCGTGGTCGGTCACCAGATGTGTCGGTGTCAGCAACGAGGGGGGGGTCGGTCACCAGATGTGTGGTATCGGCAACGAGAGGGGAGTCGGTCACCAGATGTGTGGTGTCGGCAACGAGGGTGTGATCGGTCACCAGATGTTTCGGTGTCGGCAACAAGAGTGTGGTCGGTCACCAGATGTGTGTGTCGGCAACGAGGGGGTGGGCGGTGTCAGCAACGAGAGTGTGGTCGGTCACCAGATGTGTGGTGTCGGCAACGAGAGTGTGATCGGTCACCAGATGTTTCGGTGTCGGCAACAAGAGTGTGGTCGGTCACCAGATGTGTGTGTCGGCAACGAGGGGGTGGTCGGTGTCAGCAACGAGAGTGTGGTCGGTCACCAGATGTGTTGGTGTCGGCAACGAGAGTGTGGTCGGTCACCAGATGTGTGTGTCGGCAACAAGAGTGTGGTCGGTCACCAGATGTGTGTGTCAGCAACGGGAGTGTGGTCGGTCACCAGATGTGTCGGTGTCAGCAACGAGAGTGTGGTCGGTCACCAGATGTGTCGGTGTCAGCAACGAGAGTGTGGTCGGTCACCAGATGTGTTGGTGTCGGCAACGAGAGTGTAGTTGGTCACCAGATGTGTGTGTCGGCAAAGAGAGTGTGGTCGGTCACCAGATGTGTCGGTGTCAGCAACGAGGGGGTGGTCGGTCACCAGATGTGT